GTAGTCAGGCACAATACCCTTGTTTTATTTATTTATTTTTATGTGGTGCTAAGGATTGAACCCAGGGCCCCGCATATGCTAGGCAAGAGCTCTACCACAATCCCAGCCCCAAAGGTGGTGACTTCTTCCTGAGGGACTGCAATGAGTAGAGCCTCCTGCTTCTGACAGACACATGTAAGAGTTAACCCACCTAAATGTGGAGGTTAATTATCACAATGTAACTTGCATCCATGTTGTTGCAAATGACAGGATCTCTTTCTTTTTAAAGGCTGAATAATATTCTATTATGTGTATATACCATGTATCTATCCTGATTAATACATTTTTATTAATCGGAACTCTTATATTTGCAAGTATAGAAAACCAACTCAAACATAAAAAAACAAAACAAAACACTGAGAACAGACAGGGATGGGGAGAGGTTATTGGAAAAGGTTCTGGGGTCTTATGGATTCCAAGGGTAGGGCAGCAGCTGGACTCAAGAATAGGACCAGAGCATGAAGCCCTTTAGGGAACTCAGGGAGTCTTTTCTCTCCTATTTTCTGCTTCATCCCCTCATGCATGCTTCACTCCAGCTTTCTCTACTTCCCAGGTTACGTGATGGAAAATGGCTGCTTCTGCTTCTGCTCCTGTTGTCATCTATGAGTAGTGGCATACCACTCAGGAAAATCCCCAGATTTCTGGCTTTAGCAGGTGGGTGGATGGATGCTAGAGGTAATGCTGGAATGGAGAACACCGAATGAAGACCAAGTTGGGAGAGGAAGATGATGAGTTCAGTTTTGATAAATCAAGTTTGAGACACTCATTGGAGATCCAAGTGGAGAGAGTCAAGAAGCAGGGAGCATGGATCAGGAGTACAGTGTGGATGAGTGAGAGTGATGGCTTAGGTCCGGGATCTCTAGGAGAGAGAAGAGAGCAGATGACTAATAAATGTGAGCCATAGGCTGAGGAGGAGCAGGCCAAGGAGATGGAGAAGTGCCACATTCCTCGTGACAAAAACACTCAGGGTCACTCCAGGAGAACTGGGCCGCGCTAAATAATCACACAAGAGACAGAGAAACCTTTTTCTTTGAGGGTCCTGTGATGGCTCCTCTGACCTTAAGGGTCGGCAAAAAGAGAGAGCCAGCATGTGCTGTCCCTTTTATTGAGGAAAAGCCATTCAAATGAGTCAAGGGGTCAGGTTTCAGGGGGTTGAGTCTAGCTTTGTGATGTCGGCTGTCAGTAGGTTGACTGACATCTAGGAAGGCCACACCCAAAGGCAGAGCAAGAGATGGGGACACACAAAGGGAGTTTCCATGGAACATTCTATCCCAAACAGGGCAAAGGGGTAATATCACAAAAGAACAGGTGAGCATAGCTCAATCCATGGGGCTGCAGGAAGGCATGCCTATGAAGGAAGACACATTCTGTTACTTCCGTGCAGTGGCCACTTCGAATGTGGCCAGATCACTATGAAAGTGACCAGAAAGTGACCGGCAGAGCCTCTATCGATCACAGGAAGGAAAATGCTGGTCATTCAGTGTGACGGCCTCCCACAGAGAAGCAGGTAGCACAGAAGTGGGGCAGGGGAACAGAGATTATGTGTCTGTCTCATTCAGCCATCCCACAGCCTGGCAAGGTTGATTGATTGTATGGATGAGAAAACCAACGCTCAGAGGCTAAGTGACGTCCATAATCGTGAAGTTGAGAAGGGGCAGGATTAGTCTCAGGTTCCAGGTCTGGGATCTGAAGAGCAAGTGGGGCTAGCATTCTGGAGGAGTGGAGCCTCCAACAACAGGTGGGCAGGGATGGGGGGATGCAGAGTAGAAGGCCAGAGTTTGGGTAAGCTGGGCCTGTGGCATAGGGTCAGGGCACTGTTTCAGATTCCTGACTCTTCTTCCTGCCAGGATGGATCCCACTCCAGTTTCCCACTGTAGCCCTTCCTCCAGGAAGGAAACTGAGCATTTGAAGGAGGATATTTAACACCCTGGTTCTCCTCCACCACGGAAAAAATCCTCTTCTTGTTTGTTTAGAGTCTTTTCCTCATAAATAAATAGATTGTCTAGCCCCAGTGAACGAGTGCCGAGGGTGAGGACGTGACCAGGTGCAGTTACTGGCTCAAGATGGAGTTCCTTCAGTGAGGCTGGCAGGAAACCAGATAGAACCTGCTCTGGCAGCGTGACCAGGTGCCCCCAGCATTGTATAAGCCTCTCTCTGAATCTTCTGGTGAACATCAGATTTTTGCAATCTAAATAAAAACTTGATTTTTAAACCTATTTTTCGTTTACTGTACTCTACATATTTTTCATACCATACTATAATATTTAAAGTTAAAAGAAAAAATAATCCTTGCATTCATCTAACACATCCTTTGACTTGTGTTTGTTTCCAGTACTTGATCATGGAGAAACATATTTGTATGTACTTTTAATTATTACCTGGGTAAAACCAAATATAAAATTACAAACATTGTCCCACACTGCTTTGTTTTTTATAATTATATATTTCAATGCCTTAATTTTTTTATTTTTGAAAATCTTTGATCAGTTTTTTAAATCTCAGTAATGCACATGGAATAAAATTTAAAAGGTGCAGAGTGGTAGGTTTGAAATATAGGTCTTATTCCTACCCCTTTTCCCTATAAATGAAGTTTCCTTTCCTGGAGGCCTAATGATGATAAAAATCTTCTTTAGAGGTATTTCCTGTATGCATTTTTCTTGTAGTAGCATACTATGTGAACAGTTCTGTACTTCAGCCATTGTTTCAGATCACTACATAAAGAACATCCTCATTCTTTTAACAACTATGAAGTATTCTACTGAGTGATTTACTAGAATTTAATTAGCTAATCCTCAATGAAGACATTTAGGTTATTACAAATCTTTTGCTTCTAGATCAAGGCTGCAATGAGAATCCATACACAAATATGTGCGTGTATTATTTCACACAAGGTGAGTACAGAGGTTGCATTTCTAGAAATGATTTTCCAAGTCAAAGGATATATGTTTTTATTTTAATAGATATTGTTATATTGCCTTCAATAAAAGTTATACAAATTTATACACTTAACAGTTGTGTACAAGTGTTATGGAATTTTAAATACACAAGTCATGGAATTTTCAATTTCCAACATCTTAAATTTTTTTTTGTTACAAAAGTTTTATAAAATAAAAAATTTTAACATAAGCCAAGTGCAGCAGTGCGCATGCCTGTAATCCCAGCCACTCGGGAGGCGGAGGCAGGAGGATAGTGAGTTCAAAGCCAGCCTCAAAAACTTAATGAGGCCCTAAGCAATTTAGTTACTTGAAGTTTGCCAGAAAGCTGGACAGCCTCATGTTAAACATGAAATACAAAGGATTCATTAGGTGAGAGATTTGACTAGAAAACTGTAAGAGTCCTTCAACTTAGGTTCTGTCACTAAATGACTCTAGCACTCTAAGTTGGTAAGAATTTAAAACTATAACTCTAAAATTGTATTAAAATAGGAGACAATCTCTGTCTTAAAGAACTAACCATCTAGTAGCTGAGGAGGAGAAATAGTTACTTTCACTAACTATAATAAGTAGTATTAAGGAATGACTGCAAGTCCTGGACAGGATCTGGGAGGGAGACCCCACTGAGCAGAGCTATTTCCTTAAGGCTAGTCTCAAACACCATTTGCATCAGAGTGTTTGGGAATCTTGTTAAAAATGCTGATTTCTGGGCTGTACTCCAGATCTCCTGAATTGGAATCTCTGGAGTAGAGCCCAAAAGTCTATTGAGGGGCTGTGGCTGTGGCTTAGCGGCAGAGTGCTTGCCTGGCATGTGTGAGGCACTGGGTTTGATCTTCAGCACCACATAAAAATAAACAAATAAAATAAAGGCATTCTGTCCATCTACAACTACAATAAATAAATAAATAAATAAGTCTACTGTGTTAAAAACAAGTTCTCCGGTTGATTTTTAGGTAAACTGAAAATTGAGACTGCACAGCTAGGTGGTCAGGATGACTTCTCTGAGCAGAGATCGCCAGACTGAGAAGGAATAGCTGGGTCAAAACATGTGACCACAGAAACAACCCAGAAATCAATGTGTTTTGATGGAGATTAGAGATTTTGTACAAAATGTCCACCATGTGGTAGGTCTTTTTTAAATGATAGCATTTCTTAGATACTATATCTTGAGATTCTGTGAACTGCAGATATCCTAGAGCAGATCTTTGCAAAGGCTGAGTTTGTTACTAATTATTGCAAGGCCTTGGTCTGGTATTGAGGATTTAGATAGGCTCCCTACAGAGTCCCTGAAAGGTTGTTCCTTGTTTCTGTCCATTCCCCCTCTGTTAGCTTTCTGGCCTTCATTTCTGACTGTCCCTGACTGCTGCTTTTTTTGGAGACTGCAATGTCACCAATAACATTTGAATGAGGACCTGATGGCTGGAAAATGAAGAGTGTTCTGGGACAGAGACAGGTTGATGTGCCAAACACAAGCTGGTCAGGCTTGAGGGACCTACTGAAACTTTGGCTGCAGGAGAAACCTGCTGGGGCTAGGGAGAGGGATGTAGTGGATTCTGAGTCAGAATTCTGCCACTGACTTGCTTGATGAGCATGAGCAAGTCCACTTCCCAATTTGGGGGTCTGTATCCTGTCTGGAAAAAAGGATTTGTGTTACAATCAGGTGTTTTCTCAGTGACCCTCCAGTTTTCATATTTTGTATTCCTGAGAACTCGTTTGATCCTACCATAAGACTGTGAAGAACATATGCAGGAACCATACCCACTTCACAGACAGGAAGCCAAGGTTCAGCAAGGAGCAGTAACTTGCCTATCACAATACAGACACGGAATTCGGTCTCAGGTCCAGGAAACGGTACGGGGACGGAAGGTCCGATCCCACAGCAGGGTGAGGCTAAGGAGCTGGGCGGAGGCGCTTGAAGCCAGCCCCGGGAAAAGTGGGTGTGCTAAGATCGGGCGGGGTCAGGGGAGGAGACACCCTGGGGAAGGGAAAAGGGAGCTGAGCGCGGGTTGGAGCGCAGAGCCCCGAGGGCGCAGGACAGTGCTGGGGGCTGTCGGAGCGCACCTGGAGGGGGCAGAACTCTCACCAAGAGCGGAGGGCGCCTCATCCAACGTGCGCCCTTGGGTCTTTGCCAGAGACAGGTAAGGCGCACTCTCAGGGCTGGGAAAGCTGAGCTGCAGCTGGAGATTTAAAAAAAAAAAAAAGCGAGATCTTTGGGCCTCTCTTCCTTGGGCCAAAACACGTTCTCCTTGAGAGTGCGGACCCAGCAAGGGTTGCAGCTTAAGTACCAAGCAGATCCTCCCGGGGCAGAGAGCAGATATTCGCGGCATGAGGAGCTGGACACCTTGCATACTAATGCTAAGCCAGCGCGCGCGCGTGTGTGTGTGTGTGAAAGAGAGAGGGAGGGGGGGGTGTGTGTGGGGGGGGGAGGGGTGGGGGCGGAGGGGTGGACTTGCACCCATGCTCCCAGGCCCCCCAGAGGGTGGCATAAAAGCTCCTCCATGCCTATAGGAATGCAAGCAAATACCTGGTCCGCAGCTCCTGTACACGAGGAACTCCATTCCAGCGGTCAGTGTTTCCCCCTTGGCCAGAACTGCTGGCTTTGCAGAGTTGACTTACTCATTCTCTACTTGGTTGTGTGTCTTACCCTGACCAACCCAGTACCTGGGAAAGCATGGGGACTCCCAGAGGCTTCTTCTGCTGCTAGTAACCTTAAGGATTAGTCTGATGGTCCAGAGATCTGGGTTTCAGTGAGCAGGTTGTGTTGCCTGCTCTGTGCCTTGTGCTTTCTTATCCTGGTTCACCACCAGTAAAATGGGTCTTGTGCTCCTATTGCCTAGTACCCAAGGGACATGAGGGGAAGGGGGGCCTGGACCTGGAATCTCTTATCTAGTAAGTAAGTATTAAAGCTCAGCCCTAGCATGAGAGCCCACTGAGAGTATCTTCTCTTAATCCCCCTCTCAACTCCCCTGGGCAACATGATTAACTTACCGTCACACCTGGATCCAAAGAGAATTAGAACCAAGTTTCTTCACTCCTACTCCAGGGCTCTCTCCACAATCTCCTACAAAGGGATATTGTAAGGGTAGAAACTCATTATCTCCTGGCATCCGGCCACTTTGCCAGTTCCAAATGGAGGAGGTAACATGCTAGAGGCACGGAAACTGCTTTCAGATTTTCTTGACTCCTGGGGATGAAAACCAACAACACATTCTCCATCCTTCTCACTTCACTCTTCTCAAAGTATATTCCTACTCATAAACTTAATGTGTGGGTGCTCCAAATTCCTTCTAAGAGGAAGACAAGAAAACCCATCTTACTAAGGAGGAAAACAAGGCTGAGGGGAGAAGGTTCTTAACACATGGCTAGATGTGTTGGAAAATGGAGGCAGAAACCCAGGTCTATTGATTTCCAGGACTTACAGAATGGTGCCCTCAAATGGTCAGGGACTACAAGAATGATCAGAGAGGGTGGGAAACAAGGATGGGTCTGAAGGAGGTAAGCATTTCTGAAAATCCTGAAGAGTAATAAGAGCCCCCGGCTGATTCTGAGGGTAAAAGAGCCAGAGTGGGGAGAGGTGGCATCGAGATGGCTGGTCTAACTAATATGGGGGAGGGGGAGAGTTGGAGACAAACAGTGTGACCAGGCTGCCCAGTAATATTCTCCTATGTTTACAGTTTCTAAAACACTTTCCTATCTGTTGTCTCCTTCAGTTTTCATGTGTGGTAAGCAGGGCAGGGATAATTATTCCCATTTTATAGATGTGGTTCAAAGGAAATAAATGTGGTCCTCAAGGTCACAAAACTAAACATGGAGCCAAGATTGGAATCTGAAAGGCACCCTTGAAAGGAAAGATCAGAAGCCAAGAATGAGACCTGGATTAAGTGTGTGTGCTTTGTAGTGGGTGTGTAGAGCCACACCCTTCGTAGGTATACAGGGAAGAAGACTGCAAAACCACTGCTTGTGTTTGGGGCCCAAGAATGTTTGCCATTTGGATTAAATGGGGTTCAGGTGCAGGAAGTGTCTGAACTTCCAAAGGACTCTCAGAATTCCTCCTCCCCTAATTAGCCCCACCTGATAAAGGCGGCTTCTTTTCTTTGAACCTTCTCTTTCCCAGACTAAATGAACAATCTGTTTTTGCCAGTCCTTGATGTTGGTTCTCTTTTTTAAAAAAGTATTATAAGCTGTTTACATGATACAGAGAGAGAGTGTGAGTGTGTGCGTGGCTGTGTGTCCTGGAGGAGGGATGCCTGCATAGAGGAGGTATTGATTCATTTATTCCTGAGTGCCAGCTGTGTCCTCAGGCGTGGGGAATAAAGTTATGTATGAGGCAGAAATTCTGGCCCTCAACACCTCACAGCACCTGCACACACACACACACACACACAGTTTCATTACAGCACAGTGCTCTAATAGAGCTTTGTGCAAAGCAATTTGGGAATAGATAAGAGGGAGAGAATAACTGTCTAGGGAGTAGGGAAGGAGGTGTCTCAGGGAAGGATCTAAAGAGTTGACATTGAAGCTGGATCCTGAAGGATGATGAGTAGGCGTTTGCTGAGTGGAAGGAAATTCCTGCTAAGAAAACAGCATAATCAAAGGCAGGAGGTGTGCGAGTGCAAGGAATGCTTAGAGAATGGGTACAAGGCACTGGGAAAACTGTAGGGTGATGGAGCCCGTGTCGGTGTCTTATCCAAAGAAGTTTGAATGATAATCAGAAGAGTTTAGACCCTACTTTATAGGAAGCAGGGAACTTATGGTGGAAATATCTGTGGAAGGAGAGTAGGAATATCTGATTTTTGGTCCCATCCCTGCCTCTACCAGGCGTAAGACCTTGAGCAAGTGATTCCTCGAGGTATGGATGGTTGAAAGAGGGTGCATACTTACAACCTAGTCATTAAAATCCCTTCCAGCTCAGATTCCATTCCTGTGTCTCTTCCCAACTAGATGTTAAGGTCCACCCTTAAACTCTTCTCCGGCTCCGCAGGCTTTCCAGTCTACAGCAGTGACAAGACCATCAAAATGACAGTGGCAACACTGTACACCTCAGGAGTTATCTTTGGATCTCCTATTTGCTTTATGTCACTTTTTCTATCTGCCTCTCTTTACCTCAACTCCAGGGCCTTAAGACACTCATCCAGAAAGAGTAGTTGAAACAAAGCAATGGGGAACTAAAGGAACCAATGGTGGAGTTTCACTTTTCCCCAGAGAAACCTGAAAGAAAATGTCACTAAGTTTATCCTTCATATCACACTTGTACCCCAAACCCCAAATTAGAGGCTGGTGAGTTCAAGTCAAATACTTTTTTTTTTTAAAGAGAGAGAGAGGGAGAATTTTTTAATATTTTTCAGTTTCAGTGGACACAACATCTTTATTTTATTTTTATGTGGTGCTGGGGATCGAACCCAGCACCCCGCGCATGCCAGGCAAGCGCGCTATGGCTTGAGCCACATCCCTAGCCCTCAAGTCAAATACTTTTACAGAGGACTTGTTTATGTGATGGAAATAGCAGAGCACAGTGTAGACAGAGAGTGCTTGGGAGTCAGGAGTAGGTCTAGGGCAGAGCAGCCATGGGAAATGAGACCACAGAGGAAGGCTAGCTGTCTTTCAAAACCTACCAACTCCCCCCTTACTGGATCCTTGACTAAGATTGGCAAGAATATGTAGTATAGGAAAAGGTAGTGATAATAGAATAGGGGAGGATGCCCCATGCCTTGAGGAGGCAGTGTTTGGTGTAATATCCAGCTAAGATGCAAGGGAACACTGTCATCTGAAGTAGAAAAACAGCCCAACAAAGACCTGGGTTCTCATCCAAGTTCTGCCACTCACTGGCCATTTCATTTTGGACTAGTTACTTCCCCTTTCTGAGCATCAGTCTCCCCAACCACAGAAATGGAGACTTGGGCCTAGAATTTAGACTGGAGATGGTCTTTAAAATACCTTTCAGCTTGCTCAGGAACTTTTAAAAATCTTTCTTCTAAACTGGTCCATCTTGGGAGCTTGGTGATCCATTGATGCTCTCTTAGAGAGGGAAGCCAAAGAGCACAGGAAAGAGAAGCAAAATGCCCAGTGTTGCTGACTGCCAATACCCAACCTGAAATCAAAGGCAGGTCATAGAGAACCAACCTGTCCCTTCATTAGCTCTCTGCCTCTCCTGACTGAAACAGGATGCCCTTGTACCCAGGCCCTCATCCCCATCCAAATCCATGGCCTATGGCCTCTTTGCTCCTCCCATCAGAACCACAAATACCTGAGTCTATCCACAGAAACCCTAGCAGGAGAGCCTGATGATGAATCTTCACACCTTTCAGTGAACCCCACCTCAGAGCCCACCCTGTCCTCCACACTGTACCATCCACCACTTTGCACACAGTATGTCTCCTCCCCATGCTAGACCACTTATCAGCAGGTGGGCTGCTAAGAGGGAAAATGAACAAGTCAATTGATTTGGTTCTTAGCTTATCTAGATTGGAATGAATATTAGGTGTAAGTTGGTCCCAGGGCTCAGGAGTGACTTTTTTTAAAAAATATTTTTTTGAGTTGCCAGTGGACCTTTATTTTATCTATATGTGGTGCTGAGAATCAAACCCCATGCCTCACACATGCTAGGCAAGCACTCTACCACTGAGCCACAGCTACAACCCTCAGTAGTATCTTAACCTGAGGAAAACATCTGCAGTCTTCTCTATCTTGGGAATTGAGGGGCTCTAAAAAACCATCAAAGTGCCTCTCCCACCAGTCTAACCAGTCTCCCAAGATCTCACAGCCTGGTTTGTGATCTGTACTGTCACAGGATGTTAGAGCTGATCAGATCCCTTCATTTTACAGAGGCCGATAGAAGCTGAGAGGGAAAAAAAAAAGGAAGTCATATGCCCAAAGTCACACAAGTAGCAGCTGAGCCAAGGCATTTCTCTCATGAAATGAGGACACTTAGACTAGATGGACTTTGAAGGCCCTTCCAGCCTCTTCTTCATAAAAATAAAACGTCCGTCAGTATCTGGGGAGTGTCTGGTTCCAATGCTTCATAATATTCTGCTTTAATTTTCCCAAGAAAAGTGTGCACAAATAGTGTTAATTGTGAGACAATTGAATGTATTTGGACCCTGTCTGTCTAGATAGATTTGATCAGTAGCACATCATTTGTTATTACATAACTACTATTCTACCACTTGCATCACTCCCTTGGGATTCTAAAAGTCTCTTGGGTAGGAGGATGTTTTAAGCTGCACCATTAGCTGATCCCACAGCAGGAGTCCATATATTAAACTGGGGCTTTTCATGAAGTCATGCAGTTAAGACATTGTGAGTCTGGAGCTGGGAGACAGCAATCTGGTGCCTCTTGGCTACTGCATAGTTCCTGTAAGTACAGCCCTAGGCAGGCCTGACCCAGCTGCTGCAGGAAGGGGAGGAGAACTAGAAGGGGGTCTGAGCCCACAGAAAGACTATTGCACAACCCTCAGGAACTGGCCTTGAGTGATCCACCCTGGTTCTGAAGTTTGTTCTATGTGTCTGGTTTCTTCTTCCTTCCCATTTTCCAGCTCTGGCCCCTTCTAGTGCCTAAAGTCAATACTGAGACCCCAGACATGTCCAGAGACATCCTGAAGAGACTGAGCAATTAAGGAGCCTTAAGGTATCCACAAGGAGATTCCTGAAGCCATCTCAGAGTCAGAGAGTTTGCCTGCCGTTTGGTGAGTTTTCTAGATTGAGGTTACCCTCCCTCTAGCCGTCATTTAAAGCCCCTTTCCAAGGATACCTAAGAAAATTAACAGTAGTGTCTGCCCTGGAAAGGAGCCCTGGATGACCAGGAATAGAGAGAGTTTACCTTCATATATGTACTGCTTTTATTTAAAAAAATATATATATGTATTTGTTTCTAAAAAAATTGAGTTATATTCAACATAATAAAAATATATGCTTATAGCAAGCCTTTAGGGAAGCCAGGGCAGGGGTGATAATCTTTTTTGATTGTTTTAACTATGGTAAAAAAAAAACACATAATACAAAATTTGCCATCTTAACCATTTAAGTATTGGATAATGTTAACTATTTTCATATCATTGTGCTATAGATCTCTAGAACTTTTCCATCTTGCAAAACTAACATTCTGTGCCCATTCTATAACAACTCCCAATGATGGTCTATTTTGATAGATAAGAAGACTGAAGGCCAAACTGGGAATACTTCCCTTAAAGTGTGCTCCTCTAGACACAAATGCTGTCTATTGTCTACCTGTAAACTTGTCTGAGGTCTCTTCCTCCTTCAACCCACATTTAGCCCTTCCATCCTCCAGACAACTGTCACATCTCCACATCTGTTCCTGCCCCAGCCCAGTCATCCCTTCTGCCCTCACCCAGGACTCAGCATCTTACCCCTAAACAATTTCAACACCCTTATCACTAGACCTCCTGCCTCAATTCTTGTCCCTTCCAGTCCACATAGCAACCAGAGCATCTTTTCTCAGTATAGATCTGATCATTTTATCTTCTTTCAAAGGATAAAATGTGAGTTTGCCTGCCATTTAGTGAGTTTTCTAGATTGAGGTCTCTCCTACGATTGCTTTTTTTTCTTTCTTCTTCATCTTTTCTTCTTACAATCCTACTACAGGATAAAGTCCAACTCTGTAGCATGTCACTCACAGTCCTTCATGGTCTGGCTCCTGTCGGTTTCTCCTGTCCCACATCCTGTTTTGCCCTCCATGACTTTATGCTCTAACCTCATCATGTTACTTTCCATGCATCTAAACATTTTATGCACTTTCTCATTAATGTACTTTGTTCAACCCTTTCCTTCTCTTGTCTTCTCTACCTCCTAAAAATCTTTCAAAGTCCAGTTGAAATGCTTCCCACACTGTGAATGTTCTCTGAGCCCTGATCAAAATTCATTACTTCTTTTAAGCCTCAGTAGCTCCTGGTTTGACCCCAATCATAACTGGAGATGAGCCTCTGAGTGCAGGGACTAGGTTCAAGTCTCCCTGAGGTCCCAGCATAGGACCTGGCCTAGAAAAAGGATGACTTGCTAAGTGATTCATTGAGTCATTCATTTCATTGTGATGCTCCTCCATGCCATTGGCACATGCAAGCAAAGACACAGATTTCTTGCCTGTCAAGAGTACTAGGTGAGAATCTATGTCTCCTAGATCTTAACTGAGTGAGCCCTTGATCTTTTCCCCCTCCTCCATCCAGATAAGACAACACAAGTACTAGATGGCAGAGGGTCCGAGACTGATTCTTCCTCCCAACTTATGCATTCAAAGAACCACTCATCAATATTTATCATATTTTCTGGGAGGGAGACCTTGCAGTTAATTATCATTATTTGGTTTATTGATAGCTCTACCTACATGAAGGAGGGCTTTGGAACTAGTGAGTGAATTATGGGTGTTTGAGCTATAAAGTCCTAAGAGTAGACATATTTACAGGAAACTGCTGAGAGGAGAATACCCATCCAGTCCCCTGGTAAAAAAGAACACCAAATGAGTCTCAGGGTAGTCTCCTAGACTTGGGGGGAGATATAGTCCTGCTAAATAGGACCATGTGGCCTGATATGCTTATGAAAAACAAGAGTACAGCCACTGGCTGGGGTTGTGGCTCAGCAGTAGAGCACTCGCCTAGCACATGTGAAGCACTGGGTTTAATCCTCAGCACCACATAAAAATAAATACATAAAATTAAGGTATTGTGTCTAATTACACTGAAAAAAAGAAAGGAAGAAAGAAAAAAAGAGTACAGCCGCAAATTGCCTTATATGTAAATGGTGGGGGAAGGGAAAGCTGAGCTGGTAAACTTATGGAATATGGTTGAGGGGTGGGAGCCCTGGATGAAGGCTTCCTGATGGAAGTAAGTGTGAAACCTAGTTAATGGGAATGGCATGTTTTTTTGTTTGTTTGTTTTTTGTTTAGAGACAGGATGCAAAGTTGTCTTAGGATGTTTTTTTTTTTTTTAATAGACTAAGGATTTTTGAGAAGAAGGAAAGGGAAAATTTATTATCACCTAATGTAAACTAGGTATGTAATGCCTTTGTTTTAGGAGGCAGGATAGTTGAGGTGCTGCAGGTAAACCCCAAACCAGACTGAACATTTTACTCCCTTCACAGCTGGATCTGTTCTCCTTTTCTCCAGTGCCTGAAGGGATCATTAACCTTCTTTCTGCTCTTCCAGTCCCATCTTTTCCAAAACAATTTCCCCAAAGAGCTAGGAATACCTAGTATTTGGCACCAAGGATTCTTTTTTTTTTTATTTTAATATTTATTTATTTTTTTTAGTTCTTGGCGGACACAACATCTTTGTTTGTATGTGGTGCTGAGGATCGAACACAGGCCGCACGCATGCCAGGTGAGCGCGCTACCGCTTGAGCCACATCCCCAGCCCGCACCAAGAATTCTTGAGAGGTCCCATGAGCCAGTCTTTGGTTCCAAATAGGTGAAATCTAAGCCATCTAAGTATCTTTAAATGGCATCTATGCATTATATAAAAAGAACTGTTCTGAAGGAGAGTCTGATGCCTATCTTCTAATGGTTCCACATGGTCCCATGGAGAGCTGGGATGGGACCTGAAGGAACTCTAAGTTGGTCTTGCAAGAGTGAGACTTTATCTCGGCCATACCTCTCAGTCTCTGTGATCATGGACAAGCTACTTATTTGTTGTGGGCTTTAGTTTCCCTGTGCATAAAATGGAAGGAGCTATATTAAATAATTCTAGGGCCCTTCTAGCCTAAAGCTCAGTGACATAAGGGGATAAAAGAAACAAGTGAAATTAATGTGGGTTACAATGGTCCAGGAAGGTTTTATTCTACAGGTATTTACTGGAGCACTATGAAGTACTGTCACAAGTACTGTCACTACCTATATCAGTAGATAAACAGATATAGTTCCTGCATTTATTGAGCTTGTGATGTAGTGGAGAAGACAGACAAGTAAGCAAATAGTGAGAGTACACTGTAATGTTAGGATTCTAGCTGAGATCTGAAAAGTGGGGAAGTCACTCAAGCTGAAGGTAATAGAAGCCATCCTCTCCCTCTTTTCTCTCACCATCATAGCATCCTCTGATTCTCCCCCAGCCTCAATTTCTGTTGCTATGGAGACTACCAATGGGACTGAGACGTGGTATGAGAGCCTGCATGCTGTGCTGAAGGCCTTAAATGCTACTCTTCACAGCAACTTGCTTTGCCGGCCAGGACCAGGACCAGGGTCAGATAACCAGACTGAGGAGCGGCGGCTCAACCTCCCTGGCCGTGATGACAACTCCTACATGTATATTCTCTTTGTCATGTTCCTGTTTGCTGTTACTGTGGGCAGCCTCATCCTGGGATACACCCGTTCTCGCAAAGTGGACAAGCGTAGTGACCCCTATCATGTATACATCAAGAATCGTGTGTCTATGATCTGACACAAAGGGGCTGGGGATGGTAGATATTAAGACACTTGAGGATTGTCTTCTGGAACCTCCAGAACTCAGCTATGGACCACATCAGCCTTCACTGTCTATAAAGTCAACAAGAAACAGGGCTAAGGGAGGTCGTCAATGGGGTGTGAGAGGAGGGGCTACCAGGCCTGGGCCTTGTGGATAAAACTTTTTCCAGGCAAAGACAGACTTTATATAACAGTGTGAGCCCATGATCAAACACAGAACAGTACAAAAAAGATAATGACCAATGATTGGTCAAGTGGCAGGAGTACTTGGGGGATGGGGTTGTAAAGAAGGAGAAGTTGTAGCAAAGGGAAATGAACAGGAAGATGCTCTGGAGACATTTTTTAATGTGTTCTCTTCAACAACCATGAGATGCAGTAATGATTATCCCATATCGTGGACAGGAAGTCTGAGTAAATTTACTTATTTATGTTAGTTCACATTTCTGGGTGGTTTTTAAAACACACACAGTGGTTTTACCTTTTCTACCCTGCACAAAAAGCAGGCAAAGTGCCATGCTGCCCATTTGGGCCAGAGAGGTACCATGACTGGGAACCACAGAGCTCTGGTCTCCTTGCCTAGCACTTCAAAACTCTGTGTCACACTGGAGTGGACCCAAGCCTGAAGCCTATACAATTCTGGGGATTCTCTTTAAGAAAACGAATCAGCGAGGCCCTAAACAACTTTATAAGAGCCTGTCTCACAATAAAAAATAAAAAAGGATTAGGGATGTGGGTGTGGCCCCTGGCTCAGTGGTAAAACACTCTAGAGGTCATTACCTGGTGCAATAAAAAGAGAGAAGAAAGGAAAATTCAGAAGTACCTTACTTTAGTAAAGATTACAAAAATGTACCACCATATCTCCAGTCATGGGACCTTCACTACATCTAAAGCAGCCTCTTCTGCTTTGATTACATTCTGTGACATATCTTCTGATACTAAGTTGGAATGCTCTTCTAGAACATTATTATCACACCTATGAGATTATCATATTAACAGATTATCATATTAACAGAGTGTGGTTCAATAGGAGAACTAGCCCTGTTTCTGCCACTAATATGGTAAATGACCTTAGGCTGGTCATTTTTCTCTCTAGTCCCTTTTCTCTCTGGTCCTTTTTCTTCTTCAGCACTATGTAATAATTAAACTCGAAAGTCTCCAAGGAACCCATGAGTTCTGTCCTAGGCTTCATATGCATTCAGTTGAACCATGTAAAATCGCTGTGTTTTTATAGGACAAAAATTGCCAAATATCAGTAATTTCATGTAGTTCAATCTAATTTGTACAATATGGTGAGTGAATTATTTAAAAGCTATTTGCCCTGAATCCCTGACTGGAGCTGCCCACCATTCTGTCTGTCTGATTTCAATTTAAGGGATCTCTATGTGGTACCCAGCAGGCCCCACTGAAACATACATATTTGTGTATAGCAAAACTCTGAAAGACTATTTTGATCTCTGAGGAATAGGATTATGTATGATTTTTCCCTTTCTACTTTATAATTGAATATATAATACTTGACTTATTTGACCATAAGTATGTTACTTATGTAACAAGTGGGAGAGGAGCTACTTCTACTTTGAAAAAATAAAAATAAATGCCTTTGTGTTTCTTGAATGGAAGCTTAAGGATGCATTCTCTCCCACAAGCAGTTGGTGAACTACCTGCAAATCTGTGTTGAGCCCCTTTTGTGTTCAAGCCTTCCTTTATTTCTTCTTGAGGGAGAAAGTGGAGACTTAAGGAGATGTGCCCTATGGAAAGAACAGATTCTGAAATATACAGCTTATAGGGCTTTAGAGACTGCCCAGCTCAAACTCCCAAATAAAATATGGAGAACAATAGAGTGTAAGAATGAATGGCCAAGGAAGAGTGCTGTAAGGGTTTTGAGAAATGAGATTGAGTAGCTCTAAAAGAGTCATTGACTGGGCTTTGAAAGATAGGACAGATCTAAGTGAGCAAAGGGAATGAAGGGAATAAGGCAAAGCAAGCTTGTAGAGAAAAGTGTGAGAAATAGCTTCCTGGAGAGACAGAGCAGCAAGCAGGCCTGGGATGGCTCCTCTAAGACTTCAGAGTCCCCATTGGTAGGAGAGGTTCTCCCTCACACACTTTTCACACTCACAGAGCTTAATAATAAAATAACTCAAATGCTTTTGCTTGCATATTTTAGAAGCCCAATGTAAATTAGCATAAGCACAAAAGGGGATTTATGAGAGGTCTGGGGTAGCTTCTAAGTTCAAAAGAAGAGCTACAGATAATATGGCAAATCTAGGGAGCTCTCAGGGCCTTAGAATTAATTATCTATCTGAATTCACAAAGTAGATGATGAGTGTATTACATTACTGAGAGTTGGATTAAATAAAATTCTAGTATTTTAAAGGGTTATATTTAAACTTTCTAATGTGCTATGATGTAGGCATTGCTCTCTCAGCCCTCCCTTATATCTGTGCCAGCCTGTCTGAAAGCTCTGTTCCAATCATCTCCCTCAGCCCATCAGATCTTTGCATAGGTTCTGCCCTCTGCTGGTCAAATGCCAGCACATCACCTTGAACCCTCAAAGCAAAACTTAAATAATCATTCATTCAACACATTACTTACTGAGTGCACACTATGTGAAAGTACTCACCTGGATGTACTTGGGATACACAAGTAAACAAAAACAAAAACAAAAACAAAAAAAGAAAAGAAAAAGAAATCCCCGCTCTCAAACTTCCAAGAGAATGTACTACATGTCAGGCACTGGACTAAGTAAGCATTTACCTCAGAATGACCCTACATTGCAGGTATTTCTTACAATTACTTCAAAAGAACCCACTTTTTTTTTATCTAGTTCCTTAGTACACACACATGAGCTAATTTAGATCCTGTGATGCTCACAGCCCAGAGTGGATCTGAAATTCTCCAGAAATTAATAAAAACATGATTTGGGAAAATAGAGCAGAGTATTAACATGTGGCCTGATGCTGGGTTCCCTATAAGCAGAACCTGAGACAGGCATTCAGTGATGAGGAAAAACCTGCAAGTGAGAGAGTGAAGTAGTTAGGAAAGGAAAAGAGCCAAACAAAGTGTTTCAGTTTATGTCTAATCTTAGTCTGATCCATAGGGGCACTGTGACATATGGTTGGGACATAAACCACTTGGCAGAATGTATACATCTTTGAAGCAAAGGAAACTGTATCAGTCATTGTTGTGAGCCATCTTGTGGAGGTGGAGGGACTGGAGGAAGGTTGCAAGGAGGTTCCCTTCAGCAGAGGGCAATTCTGTAGAGAAGGGAGGCAAAAAAAAGTAGGAAGACGACTCTGCTCTACTCAATTAAATAATTACTGCCTAGAATAAGTGCTGCCATCTTCAACATGTAATGTCCAAGTCAATCTGGTCAAAGCATTTCTAGCTAGTGAGGAGAGACAAAGAAGTCCAGGGCAGACAAAATCTGCATTCATTTCTTCTGCTCAGATCCATTCACAAGGACATAGGCCACAAATGGCATGGAACTAGTGAATGAGGTGACTATCTGGGTAGTCATGTTCCAGCCAAATGTCTACTCCTATGGAAGAAAGAATGGATTTTGGCAGACAGCCAGAATGGTCCTTACCACACACTCATCCCTTTCTCCCCAGGACTAGTAAGATCACAACATTTACAACTCTTCCAAGAAGGGAAAAGTGCTACTACTCTGATGAGCTCATGCTTTTAGAGGGGTGAGGATGGGAGTCCTATAAATAACTAATCCTGTCTTGAGAATGTGACTTTTTATCATTTTTTTTTATGGCACCATGGAGTCTGGTCTCTCCTCTCATTAGAATAGTAATATCAAGATATTGGTATTATCTTACCATAGGAGGAATAGACAAAGCATGGTTTTCAGCCAATATTGTACTCTTGTACTCTTTCAAGTGCCATGAAGAAGTCAAGAACATAATCTTCCTGGATGAAATCAGAGACCCCATCTGTGGCAGTGGTTAAACTGACAGAGAATGAGGTCCTGGGAATAAAGGAGTCAGAAATTAATGAAAAGGGAAGAGAAACTAATTTGATGAACAACTGCATCCCTTACTGCAATTCCCCTGAGCCATAGGGAACTGTCTTACTAAGGTTACAACCCCTCTAGGAGCCTCTCACAACCAACACAGAGGGATACAAAGGTCTTGCTCTACTACCTCAACTTGGGTCAATTCTGAGGGATCATCTCAGCTCCAGAATAGGATCAGCTGAGTCATCAGTTGCAACCACATTGTGAGTTAGCTCCTTCTTTTGCCCACTCCTGTTTCCTAATTTCCTTAGAACACTCACCCAAGAAAACCTGCATGAAATTTTCTCTACCTTAATCTGTTTCCAAAGGGAATCAATATCTCCTTCTAGAACTGTGCCCTAATACTGAGCCTGTTCCAAACGAAAACTAGAGGAATGGGATGACAGAATGTAGATGGAGTCTGTCTAGCAAACCAAAAAGGAAAAAAGGCAATGATGAGACCAGCAGTGCAGAAACAGCCAGTTATGTTCATTGAATAAAAAGAACTAGCCTCTAGAGGGCCCAGCACTACAGCTCTGCAGCTCTGCTTCTACTTCACAGCATAGAACTTTACCCTTGACTCCCAGCATAATTGTCTATGAAAGGGAAAAAAACTGATGGCCCATTATTCCCTTCTGCTTTACATATTCCAGGGACACTAGTGTCCTAGGTTCTTTTTTTAAGAGAGAGAGAGAGAGAGAGAGAGAGAGAGAGAGAGAGAGAGAGAGAATTTTTTCAGTTTTTGGTGGACACAACATCTTTATTTTATTTTTATGTGGTGCTGAGGATCGGACCCAGCGCCCCGTGCATGCCAGGCAAACACGTTACCATTTGAGCCACATCCCTAGCCCTGTCCTAGGTTCTTATAATACCTTTAACACTGATCCCTCGGTACCATTACATATACTACACTTACTCTCCCAAATCAAGGTTTCCAAAGCCTGTTTTTTTCCGGCTACCCTCTACCCTCATTATTTTCAAGGGGTTCTGAAGATATGAAATGTAGAATTCCAAACAGTTGGTTGGGAGGGTTCATATAGGAATGGAAAGAATTGGCAAAATAATCTGTTAAGTCCTGGCACTTGCCCCACCCCTTCTACTTTCCCAATTTGCAGCAAAGATAAGACATCCAGGCTTTGGGGCTGGGGCTGTGGCTCAGTGGTAGAGTACTTACCTAGCATGTGCGGGGCCCTGGGTTCGATCCTCAGCACCACATAAAAATAAATAAATAAATAAATAAAGGTATTGTGTCCGACTACAATTAAAAAATTTAAAAAAAAAGACATACACGCTTAGATCTAAGATATAGAAAGGGTCATGGAAGCCTGAAAAGTCCAAGCACATTGTATAATGAAGTGAATTAATTAATTTTCTGATGTGTACTTAGTAAAGAGACTTAAAGGAAATATTATTCTGTACCCTATTTAAAA